CAAACAGACGTATAGATAGATAGATAGGCAAGTAAACAGATAGATAGATAGATAGATAACCGACAGATAACTAGATACATAGACGCGGTTAGAAAACGAACAAATACCGCCGAACCAAGATACGACGCCAAAATTGCATCCGTTTTATGTTCTTTTCAAAATGCCAGCAACAAAATGAGCGTTATAGAGTGAGAATTTGGAAAATCGAGTACTGATTCACTACGACGAAATGTCCAAAGTATCAAATAGTTTGACCAAGTAACGTAGTTTCACAGAAATTCACTAACCGGCCCACCAATCAACCGATCAAGCAATCGATTCATTGATCGTTCGAACGTTCGATTTAATCCTTACGTACATTTTCACACACATTGCCCATACTCTTTTGACGCATAATATTTACATGCGCATGAAATTAATATTCGTGTAACAGCGGAAGCATGTTCTCTTTCTATTATTTACAACTAAATGTTATTCTACAATTGTAATGTGTCTTTATTACTATATTCAACACACCTTTACTTACACTGTCAGTTCTTTTTCTTTTCTTTTATTTCCTCTTAGCAGATTTTCTTATTCTTATTAGTCGAAATTCTACCAAGTACACTTTGTTGTTTTTTATTTATTCTTGACTGATATACAAAGTAAAATTGTAATCGCATGTCACGATACATGTACCTAGATTGACGGTTGAAATATATCTGATCCTGTTATTTTTTTCGCAATTTTACCATTTCAAGAGTTGTCAGCTGAAATGAGAACTCTCTTATTTCGCGATAATCAATGGCACATAATGCATTTTAACTGTGGATAAACGTACCGCACACCTAAGTAAGTAGATACTTAAGTACTACTAGGTACAAAAGAAAAGCGTGTACATTCCGATTAAAAATGATTTCCAATATTTTTTCAATAACCAATCAGTCTTTTCGAGTCGATGGTAACTGTACGTAATTATCGTTTATAACATTATTAACATTAACATTTTATCTGAATAGTGTAGTAGTGTAGTAGTAGTAAAATCTGTTACGCCATCTACGGCAACACGTTCAAACTAAATTTCTATCATTGGTACCTCGCTTTTTCGATTAGATGGTATCGCTTCGTCGTGTAGTGACCGTTTCGCTTAAACATGACATTTTTCTCAACAAATTCTTTGCTTTCTCGAATTTATTAACTAACAATTGCAGCACCGATGCACGTACGAATTCTTCGTTCTATAAATAGTTTGACTAAACTTCGGTAAAAGAAACGACATTCGAATTTCGATTGAGAAGATCGTGATGGTGATAATCGGCGACACAAATAACATACCAATAGATGCTAATTGCTAGTAGCTTCGATATTTGACCGCAAATGACGCCACAAGTATCGCTAGATACGTAGTACCTTTAGGAAGATTCAATGTTGATTAAAAACGAAACATTCGACGATTATTAATGAATTCTATCGATTCAGAGATTACTACTATCGAGTCTAAGATTACTACGAAAAATATGTAATTCTAAAAATTTTGTAAATCTGTATTGTTAGTTTCTTCTATAGATAGCAGTTTTCGTTACTTCGGTTTGAATTCAACCATTGATAAGGTTGGTACTCAGGCATTCGCGGTGAATGCATGACAGTCGTTTTTTGATGATATTCATTGATGGTCGTCGAGTCGAAAAATTGAAAAGTCTGTCGTTACTAAATTCTAGAACGAAAGAAAACAAGATCAATTAATATCAAGGTTTTACAAACACGTGGCCAGTGTATCGGGGTTTGTATGCTAGAAACATCGTTATACGTATACACTACAAGTAACAGGTAACCTATTTGTTTGCACTCTGCGAATACTTGATTTTATTAAGTTTAAATACGAGTCGATTTCTTTGAATGAAGGGCCAAAAGTAAAGATGGAAGTAGATTACAGCAGCATCTGTGATGTTAAGATCCCCGAGTGCAAGAAATTGGCCAGCGAGGGGAAGTTACACGATGCTTTGGACCAGTTGCTTGCTTTAGAAAAGCAGACACGAACGGTTAATCTTTTTCCTTGATTTTCATCTAATGGTTTATATTTTTAGTCTTTCGGAGAATAACGAAAATATTTGGAACATTTTAGGGTGCAGATATGTATCATACTTCTCAGATTTTAGTAGCCATTGTTCAAATTTGCCTGGAAGCACAAAACTGGGCTGCTCTGAACGAACATATCATTTTATTGTCCAAAAGGCGTTCTCAGATAAAGCACGCGGTTACTAAAATGGTACAAGAATGTTGTACCTATGTGGATAAGATGCCTAATAAGGAAACTATGATCAAATTGATAGAAACTTTACGCACCGTAACCGAAGGAAAGGTAAGAGAGACTCCACATATTTCTACTTTGTTCCTATTCCGATTCCTTCAAATGATTATTACAAATCTACTTTTCAAGATATACGTGGAAGTCGAAAGAGCTAGACTTACTCATCGTTTGGCAAAAATTAAAGAGGAAGATGGAGATATTTCTGGTGCCACGGCCGTTATGCTAGAATTACAAGTATGTTAGTTATAAGGAAAGATATTTGATTATGCAATAATCTTAATTGAATTCATAGGTTGAAACGTACGGCAGTATGTCGCGTTTGGAAAAAGCCTCCTTGATCTTAGAGCAAATGAGACTGTGTTTAGCGAAGAAGGACTTTATGCGCACTCAAATAATAGCTAAGAAGATAAACGTTAAATTTTTCAAAGACGACGACGACGAAGAAACGCAATCGCTAAAATTAAAGTACTACGAGTGAGTTTCTTGCTATGTATTTGTCTTGAAATAACTTTAATTTTAGAAAACTTTAAAAAACTTTATACAACTAACATTCAAACTTAATTATTACATTCATTGTTAACGAGTTGTACGAGTTCTTTCTCGACATTTCAGTCTCATGATGGAACTAGCCTGCCACGAAGGGTGGCATTTAGAGTTATGTAGACACAATCGAGCGATATTGGAAATACCGGCCGTCCGAGATGATCCTGAAATGAGACATTTCGCACTTGCACGAGCTGTTTTATACTTGATACTCGCTCCACACGAACCGGAACAGGCGGACTTGACTCATAGACTACTGGCGGATAAACTTCTAGACGAAATACCTACGTACAAGTAGTAGTTGTTTAGTTTCTTAGAAAATTATGTATTTTCCAACATTAATAATTTGCCTTTCCAAAAGATGAAATTCCATGAAATTTATCTTCCAGAGAGCTGTTACGACTGTTTGTAAACCCAGAGTTAATAAACTGGTCAGGACTTTGCGAAATCTATGAGAGAGAACTCAGAGCAACTGTAGTTTTTTCCTCTTCGACCGAAGAAGGTCGTAAACGATGGACTGATCTCCGAAAAAGAGTGGTCGAACATGTAAGCACAGCAATTTTTCAAATACTTTCACATCGGTTAGTTTCCTTAAACTTCGTTTCTATCGGACTTGCAGAATATTAGGATCATGGCAAAGTATTACACGAAAATCACGTTAACGCGTATGGCAGAGTTATTGGATTTGCCGGTTAAAGAGACCGAGGCGTGTCTCTGCAATTTAGTGGAAACTGGCGTAATAAATGCCCGTACAGATAGATTGGCTGGCGTGGTACGATTCACAGGAACTCAAGAACCAGCTGCTTTATTAGACGCTTGGGCTGCTTCATTGTCAAAATTAATGAGCCTTGTTAATCATACCACCCATCTGATTCATCAAGAAGAAATGTTGGCCGTTGCTCAATCCTAACAGGTACATTGCATCTCTTCTCGTCCTATTCCTCCTATCCTTACTAGACGATGTTTTCCTCAATTTTCTTCTTTTACTTAGTTCGTCCACTTTCTATAATCTACGTTAAAATCATTTCTACGAAAGAAATGCGTGTCAGAAAAATCCTAGTAATATTATTAATGTACATTTTGTATTCTCGCTGTCCAATGAAACCGTTTAAAAGGCATTTCTCATCTTGTAATCAACGTACTTGTATACCGGACCGTAATAATAAACTGGTTATGTAAAACACACAGTGCTTTTTAATGGTTTCAGTAACATGCGACATAAAAACAATTAATGAAACAATTGATGAAACAATTGATGAAGGTTTATACATAACGTCGACAATAATCTTACTACCTTCTCTCCTCCCTGTCAGTCATGTCATTATTAAATATAGATATATATATATGTATATGTATATTTAATAATATTTACATATATACATACATGCATGCATACATATATGTATGGTAGGTATATATGTACGTATGTATGTATATATTTATAGTATAATTATTTTGCGATTCTGGGTTTTTCGATTGAAAAAGACATCGGTTTTTTTCATGGTTTTTGTCTGATATTTTCGGCTACAACAACATTTCCATCAGAGATCGTTCCACGACTCGATTTTGCATCTGAAGCAAAAATGAAAAGACATTTGAATATTTGATCACAGGATTACGGAGTGAAAGACTATATATATATATTCTATTTGAAGAGTATTTGGAAGATTTACCGTTCCCAAGGGACTTGTGTAAAAGGGCAACAACTTCTGCGTAGGACGGTGGGGGTAATTCGTTCGGAGGTTCTCGGACGACTACCTCGTACGAAGGTGGACTCGATGTTGTTGAACTACCGATTGGCAGTTCCATACCACGATCCGTACCATGATCCATACCGCGATCCATAGTACGAGCGTCGGTCAATTCCTGTAAATGCTGCTCCAAAATGAAATAAATACACGTTAATCTCGAACCACCCTTCTTTCTCGCTTGGAAACGTTTCGTTTCTTCCTCTTAGAGTTGAATGTTTTAAAAGAAAAATTGATTTATCTTTGGATAACGATACACTTACTCTCGTCCGAATTATCTTTCCGGGTTCAAGTAATTGCCGCGCTAACGCTTAGAACGAACAACGTACAAATGTAGATTCGAACGATGGGACAGTCGATACGTTGCAAACTAAACGGCAATACGTAATAAAATGAAAAACCACAAATACTGAACCAACAAACGAATAAAACGGTAAGTTGCGTTAACAAAATAAACGGGAGAGAGAGAAAGAGACAACTGATGCGAACGGAAAGAGGTGCAAGTGTGTAAGTGTACAAGTACTTACCCTAAACAACTGTCGTTGATGGAAGATCATTTGTATGACGGATTTTCTTCGAAGATAAAGCATGCACTTGACAGCCACCATGAGTCCGGAACAGATGAATATTGGACCGATGAACCACATATCACCAAGGTTCAAAACTATGTGTCCATCCGCAACGTCACCCAAAGCGAAAATAGTGATAGCTGTACCAATGGTGAATAGAACAACGCTCAGGACAAGGTAGCTATAGCTAGTACAATCACATTTGCCAAAAGTGTTTGCCGGTTCTTCGTACAGTTCTTCGATGCGGTGTGGTCTGCTCGAAAGAAGTGCGCTTTCGAAAAGTGTAGCCATATTTATTCTTCGATAGTAACTGTACGCCAGACCGAAATCGGATCATTTGGAACGAACGAGAACGGACTAACCTACCTATCGTCGTACACCTCAGTTCCTTGTTTACTATGCACGCATATTGCTTTCTCTTTCTTTCCAAATTTTCTTTATGACGCTTTATGTTTTATCTCAGCAGCTATTTATTTTTAACTGAAAATTGGTAAAACGCTGGTAAAACATCTGTGAACTTTAATAGTTTAATACTTTAATAGTTTAATAATTTAATAGTTTAATAGTTTAATAGTTTAATAGTTTAATAGTTTAATAGTTTAATAGTTTAATAGTTGGACATATATTACGTAAACACGTGCAACTATTATTCGTGATATTTAAGAATTACAGGCAGTATGTAAAGCTATGAATTATACGAAAAAATATATATATGTGATTCAACGTTGATCGCATTATTTTATTCGAATGGTAATTCGTTTGCAGTTGTCGTATGTAATAATTATTTGTGATATCTA